GCTCCGCCGCAGCCCTCCCCGAGGGCTCCTTGGCGGCCAAACCCCCGCACTTCCCTGGCCAGCACCGCCACCATCCTCATCCCCCCTGTTGTGGTGGTTTGGAGCGCAGAGCGGGCGTGAAACCGCTAACGCTGCCACCCTTTCTCTTCTCTCGCTGCCTCTGCCCCGTGCTGGGACTGGGAAGGACACGTAGAGCAACAAGAAGAAAGGGAAGTTTGCGTGACACGGAGACATCCAGGGCTGCGGGAGTGGCAGGGAACGAGATTCACAGGGAGGCAGGAAGGATGGGAGGAAGGTCAAAGACATAGGTGTGCAGGTAGGCAGGTGACTAAGGCCTTCCCTGCGCTCCCAGAGCTGGCTAAGAGCTGCTGTCCCTTCTTGCTCTTGCCCTGGTTCCTTTGCTAGACTTTTTCCTGTGCAGCTCCCCTCTCCCACACAGACAGGAGCGATGTACAGGTCTGCAGGAGGGACTTGCACACAGCTCTTCAATCCCTCCAGTTCCCATCCTTAGCCATAAGACAACACTTTGCCCTGTACTTAGGCCCTGCTTGCTCTACATCCAAGCTTGGCCCCACTTGATTTTGTTAGCAGACCTCATCCTAGTTCTAATGACCTGTGCAGTACTAGGCTATGCTGTCACTAAACCTAGCCCCAAACCCTACTTGATCCTCAGATTAACCACTTGCTTTTATATGTCTGGACCAACTTATATTCAAACCTAGTAACCCCTGAAGGATCGAAATATAAATACTGCTCTTCATCTGCTGCCACGCAAAGCTCGTAACCTTAGCTTGGACCCTGTTAGGCCAGCTAACTCTGCCCCAAAATTTCTTCCAGCACAGTTCTCACTGTGGCTGGAACATCATGTCAAACCTGAGATTTCTGCTCCAAGGGCTAATGGAGCCGTTAAACACTGGCCTAGCGACCTGAACTTACACATTAGCCCATTCTAGCTGATTCTAAAGGCCTCAGCCCAACAGCACATACACCACTTAGGAGTGCATTGGACTTCTCAGCCCCTTGTCGACCTGAACGATTGACTTTACCTAAAACCAGTCTGACAAATATAGCCCATCCTATCCCATTCTCTTCCCGTGCTATGCCCTGCACTCCAGCATGTTTTGTGGCATCTACAGGAACTGTGAATTAATCTAGTTCTTCAGGTACAGCACAAACTCTAATGTTCATTCTAGTGTTAAGGCGAGAAGAGCAACACTTGGCTATGCTGAAACTAATTGCAGCTGTATTTAGGAATTTGTTTCTTTTGTTTTAAATACCAGACTTATCTTTATTCTCTTGCACAGCAGTTTTTCCTTGCTAGAGCTCGATCTCTTACAGCTAACAACATCCAGCTCCCAAAGACTCTCAGCCTTTCAGGATCACATAACAGCACTAGATCTTTGGCACCCATCTTCTTGCTAGCCTAAAACACATCATCGTATCTTGTCCAGCAGAGGGACTTTCTCAACCCTAAGCTCAACTTAATTGGTTCTTGGGATCCAGCAACAAGTACAGTTTGTCTACCTTAACTTGGCTTCATACTGTCAATAGTATGATGCTTCTACCAACCCTGCAGACATTATAGGTTCCAGGTATAAACAAAGAGCTCTTTAACTGCCTTGGTATCTTCAATCTTGACCATATTAACTTGAGGTCCAGGAAGCATATGTTGGTGAAAGAAACCACAGCTGATTTCCTTTAGGTGTCTGCAGCTTGCCTACTATTTCTTCAGCTTTTACAAGCTCTTCTAATGAACAAGCCTTTTCAGGTCTTTTTCTCCTAAGCCACAACCTGGATTCCAACCAAATATGGCCTTAAACTAAAAAAGGCCACCCCCACAGCACCAGACCTATCTAGCTGTAGGACACTACCTTCAAGCTACATTCCTAAGAGATATGGAAAGACATCTTCAGCCTGTTCTGTCCCCATTCCCATTCCAAACATGAATTTAAAATTTAGCTAAGCCATCCTTTCTTGAACATTTCTCTCAACCAGCACTAAACCTGATTAGATTTTTTGTTTGTTTGTTTGCTTTGTTTAGCTGCTCCTGCAACCATTATCTTTTCTCCCCCATCCATCTTCTCCAAAACTGGAATCTTTTCTTTCACCCTGATCATAAATTACATTCTCGGCTAGTTATACTCACTTGCCCTAATCTCAACCTTTACCCCTTTGTTTAGAGTGCACCAATCCTTTTCCTAAGCCCCACAGCACTTGCAGGACATATATTCTAGCTAGCAATAAATCTAGCTCCTCAGTCTCTGCTTTTCTGCACAGTAGCCCCAACTCCACTTCATACTTGACCCTGTAACTCACATTAATCCTGCTAAGAATTCACAAGGATGAAGATCAGTGGTTGCTGACCTGAATTTACTGTAATGCATATCCCTGGATACATGTACTGACTAAGCTGGGGGCTGCGGTGGTCAAGATACAAAAGTACAGATTCGTCTGGGACAGGCAGCAGGGTTAGGTCTTTGCTGTGTGTTGAGTTCACTTCAGAGAGTGTAAGAACAGAAGAGCGCTGTTTGTTGTTGGATCTACAGGCTTAATATAAGCACCAAGAAGGGGTTGGGGCAATGGTGTCCAGCACTCAGTTAGGTTTAGGAGAAGTGGAGCTAGCTCTCCCACCGCCCCTTCTTGTCACAGTCAGCTATGGTCATGAGGACGTGGTTAGTCTCAGCTGGGCAGAAGTGACAGACCTGACCATAATACTGGAGTTAGGCTTCTCAGGTGCTAATGAGCAAGATTATCTGCTGTCAGGATGAAGATAAATACTGAGGCTGAGTTGTGTGTATTGAATTTAAAATAGCGTTGTGGAGGATAGTGGATTCAAGGGTTTAGTCAGGGTTAGGTTTTGGTGGTCCCTGCAGAAAGAAAGAAGCACAGATGTTCGAAGGAACCCTTTCCCTCCCAGAAAGAAAGAACCCTTTCTGTCCTATCAGGACCAACCCCCAACCTAATGGAGAATCCCTGCAGACTTCAGAAATAAACAGTGCTCCAGCACCTGCTCACTCAGTTCCTAACCCTACCACTAACCTTGACCCAGGAGAGTTAGCACAGCAATGCAAGTCTAAATTGTTGCCCATTAGATTTTCCTATGTGCCAAACCTCATCCTATTTCATTGGCTCCTGCAAACTGCCCATAAAACCACAGCTGTTCATGCCTTTCTTTCCCTAACCTTAAACTGAACCATAACCAGGGACAGGGAATGGCAGCCACTGCAAGACTAACGGTCCTAGAACCAGAATTCCTTAATCTAGTCTCTCTCACACCCTAATAAGTCTTCAGCCTAACTCTAGTTTAAACTTAAGAGGTAAGTGCGCTGTCCACTGAGTATCCTGTGCAACCTCAGTAGTCCCAGTCCTCTTTCTTGTTTGATCATCGTGGAGAATTACGATGGTCACACAATTCTCAGTCCTTCCTCAAACTGTAGCTGTGTCCTTAAACCAAACACTAACTGTGGCCTTAGCACAGAATTGTTACTCTTACGATCCAAAGCACATCCAGCTCAGTTCTCATCCTACTCTGGTAGAGTAATGCATCCCTTATTCTAAAACCAAAGGACGTGATCTTGGCCATTAACATATAAAATACGTATTCCACTAAGCCCTACTACATCCATTCTCCTGTATTAACATCCTCAGTTTAAGATTGTGGTCCCAACAACCTTCAGGAGTGAATACAGTTCTCCAGGCCATTCTTTCTTCTAACCCAAAGTATTCTTAATACTAACTTTAACATGAGGAGAACCCCTACTTTGGATAGAGGGGTCACCTCTCAAAACTCAGTCTTAACTTTCAACCCTGACAGCATCAAGCACTTTTCTACTTTGATGGCACTGTCAGAATCCAAGGTGCAATCTCTCTGGAATTCTAACCTAAATCCTAGCGAGTTGATTCCTACTGTTCTGTGATAAACTCTTCGGCATTGTCAACACCAGTCTATCTTTGCATGGCAGACCCTGTGGGAAGCAAACATACTCCTCCAACTCTCAAATGATTTCTGGTCTTCAGTTACTGAGTTGAAGCGCATGTGGGACCATGTTTTGCTTGGGCAGCCCTCAGAAATAGCAATGCTTTCCCACTCTTGCTCAGTCTTAATTGTTACTTGAACTCTAGGTTTAACCTAAGAAAGGTGACTTCATAGAATCACAGAATGCTTAAGGTTGGAAGGGACCTTTAGAGATCGTCTAGTCCAAGCCCCCTGCACACGCAGGGTCACCTAGAGCATGTGGCACAGGGCTGCATCCAGCACGTGGCACAGGGCTGCATCCAAACAGGTTTTGAAGATCTCCAGAGAGAGATTTCACAATCTCTTTTGGCAGCCTGTTCCAGGGCTCTGTCACTTCTACCATCTACAAATGAATTCAATTCCATTTGCAAGTTCTAGACTAAACTCCATACTTTTCTTCTCAAACCTATCCTAATTCCAAATTTTAGCCTAGTCTTAACCCAAGAGAGCTGAGAACTTAACACCTCAGCAAGCTAGTTCCTTGCACTCATCTCAAATCAATTCTGGACAGATTAGGGCTTGCATCTTCACGCTAGGGTTAGGGCTGTGCACAGCGAAG